TTCTGAATTATCCAACGAGTACCTCGCCCCATTCCAGGGCGTCCCTTTGAAGAACAGCTCTTCGGACCATGACTACAACTACCCAGACATGCCAAATGTAGGCCTGGTCCAAGCGCCACTGTCGGCCAGAAGGGCCAACGGAGATGGTTACATTGTCATGGATCGTGACCCACAAGACCGACCAACCGCTGGCTCTAAGGTGTACTACTCTTCGCGTATATCCTGTTCACAGGGTGGTATGGGGTCCTCAGAAATCCCCGGCAGTGACTCTTTGCGCATACCTAAACCGCTTATGAAGGAGGAAAGAGGGTCTGTAGAAAATCCCGAATCCCATGTGTATTACTCTGCAAACTCAGTGCATGCTTGTGATGAAAACGAACATGGTGCTTATATCATCCTGGATGAAAATTGATCACATTAATCCAGTGAATACTTCATTGGTTTTTCAATCACTTATCATTTTTAATCATTAATCTCAGAGAAATGTTAATCTCATTATGCAAAAGAAATCGTTTGGAAGCATACCCACCTATCCGCAGAAGCAACATCCTATAATTTGTAGTGAAATTAAAGATGAAGTTAAGTTCTGGTCATGCGATTGCATTGTGAAAAAAACGGTGTGGAACCGACCAGAAAAGGTTGATCATCTAGCATATAAGAATTTGTGTGTATTGCAAGGTTCTGGAATCATCAAAATGATAAGAAATGTGGCCGAGTCTTGGTAAAGTTACAAACACTTGCACAGAAAGATGTATATGGGACTACACGAACAGGTGGCGTAAAAAGCCGGCCCCCGATTTTTACGATGTTACATGCATATTTAGAATATGAAGGCATTTGAAGAGCCAAGCTTTACAGGGAACATGTCTTAACTGATGTTCTTCCACACTTGCATAATAAGAATGAGTAATGCTCACAAATTATTTTTCACCTCTTCCCAGAACTCAACCTTCTCTTTAAGTACTGTAATACGAGTCGTATTATTTTTTCGCGATAAAAACAGAATTCGGTGATTTCATTAGATTATCGTGATTTTCACTGTTCTTTATACGATTACATTTTGTAGAATGCCATCTCACATGGCACGGCAAAGAACGCCCTAGTCACCATGGTTACTGATGCAATCCTACGCCAGCTCAATGACCCCTCGTGTTATTACAGTCAGACCCAGACGCATATAATATTTTCGAAAGACACTTTAAAGAGGAGGAGTTGGTCAAAATATAGAAAATATCAATATGTAATAAATGGTTCGTCTGATGCATTTTCATCTCTCCAGCTTGCTCCCTCTCCTCTGTCTGTTTTCTTCTTCTGTCCCCACCCCTCTCCCACCCCCTCTCTGTGTCTGTCTCTCCCTCTTTTCCTTACTCCATTTTCTTTCTTTCTCTCAGTGGGGGAAATAATTTTTTTTTTTTAAATAGTGTTTCTCCGTGTGTGGGTCTAAGGTGTGGGTGCGTGTTGGTGTGTGCGCGCGTATGTGTCATTGTGTGTGGGCGTGTGGGCGTGTATGCGTGTAGATATGCGTGTATGTGTAATCGTATCACAATGTTTCCAATCGGAATAAGAAGACCTGATAGTCAGATCGTAGACCCTGTCACTCCTGAAAAGTTTCCGCAGCCCCTCTCCCCAACCAGATAAAACCCACACCGATTTGTGACGTATTGATGATGACAGCATGTCAGTTTGTTGAGGAGCTAATAAAGAAGGGCCTGAAATACACGGACCTTCATGTTCTTTTTCATGTATTAGCCTTTGAAATGTTGGTGGTTCATAATCACCGCCACCAATCCTAGTCCTCGTCCTTTTTCTTCCCCCCCCCCTTAAAAATTATCGTCTTCTTATTTATTTTCCTTCTCTCTCTCTTTCTCTATCTCTCTCTCTCTCTCCCTCTCTTTCTCTCTCCCCCTCTCTCTCTTTCTCTCTCTCTCTCTCCCCTCTCTCTCTCTCTCTCTCTCTCCCCTCTCTCTCACACACATGCTCTCTCTCTTTCTTTCTCTCTCTCTGCGTATCTCTCTCTTCCTTTCTCTCTCTCTCTCTCTCTTCCTCCTTTTCTCTCTCTCTCACTTCTTCTTCTTTTTGTTCGTCGTCTTCTTCTTCTCATGTGAACCCTGTGTTCCAATCGATAACATACGTACATTATAGTCCATATACCTTCATACTGATAGACTAAATTCGAGTGCATTAACATGGACATGTTCAATCGAAAAGGAGCACTTAAGTATTATTCCCCATCCCCCTTCCACTACGCCCATGTGAAACAAGTAAGGAAACATGGGAATTCCTAATAGAAGTAACCGAGAATGCAGGGCCTAATTCCATAGCACCTCTAACATGTTTAACATTAGAGCACGACCTAATTTTTTATATTGAGGCAGTCGAGTAGTACACAGGTCCTCATGGGGCGAGGCGTAAACCTCTTCAGAGGGGGGGGGGGTCACTTTTTATAGGTTTTCATCCTGTGGGAATAAGATCTTAGAGTTTCTGGTGGATTTTATGAGCCTGATGGAATCGGTTAGATGAAAACGCTTCCGAGCCAAAAGCTCAAGACCTATATTTTGTATATTGAGAAGCGCATTGTATTTTTAGAGGGGGTGCTTTCATGAGTGCAGGGGGACGCCCTCATCCCACTGGTGCTACGCCGCTGCAGGTCCATCCATGTCAACTTCAACACCAAGGAGAAAGAAGGCAGTGAGAGAGATATCCCGAGGCCAGGTTGCGGAAAGACTCAAGGAGCTCACATCTAAGGGTACCGCGAACAATTGGATAAAATCATTGTCCTCATTTCCAAGCAATTTAAATTCCAGAAAGAGGTCACATGGTGCAATTTTTATTTCATAAAACGGATGAGGAAAATAAAGGTTTCTTGCCCCCTATATTCCATATAATTCAATTTGTCATTAATAAAACATGTTCCAGACAGTACTGTTAACTTATATTCTTGTTATTAATCCCGCCGAAGAATATCAGAAGTTGGACAACGTAAAGTACCGGATGTAGTTAGAGAGTGCCTTACTCGAATGGGAAATAGGAATCATTGTCTACTGTACCTCGAAAACAGAATTCATTTTACTGGGTTCAGCAACTTTCGCGCAAATTTATTTGCGGTTCATTATTTTTTCGTGGTCTGTTTTGCAAACACATTCAAAACACTGCCCAAATAAAAGTACTACATTTTGTTTCTTCTATTTTCTGTGGTTATCTCATTTTACCCTAAACCGCATGTACTCAGTTCATGCAGTTGTCACTTTGTCATTCCAATATCTTTAAATCACATTAGCCATGATACAAATATCATTGTGGTAATGACTGGTATAAGGGGCGACTGTAGTACTTTAAAATGCGCCCCTCCTCCCCCTCCCAACTATTTCCTCAATAAAGACAAACATGTTGGATGGATGTTGCAAAACAAGTTGATGTCAAATGATATCAAAACAGAACTTTTGGTCATTGGTACTCCACGCCAGGTTTCTAAATTTAGGTCGCGTAGTGTATCAGTTGGTGACTCCACCATAACCCCATCTGATACTGTTAGAAACTTAGGTGTGTTTTTTTATACCCACCTGAATATAGACTCACATATCACTAAAATATGCAAATCATCCTATTTCATGATTTATAATTTGAGACGCATTCGAAAATACTTTGATCAGGACAGCATGAAAACTATCATGCATGCATGTGTTACTAGTAAACTAGATTACTGTAATAGTTTATTGTATGGATTGCCAGACTCACAAATTTCCAAGTTGCAGCGGGTCCAAAATACATGTGCACGACTAATTTGCAGCCTCCCAAAATTCTCTCGAATAACCCCACTTCTAAAGGAACTACACTGGTTGCCAATTCGCCAGAGAATTACATTTAAAATATTAATGATAGTCTACAAAGCTCTAAATGGTCAAACTCCTAGTTACGTTACTGAATTGTTGCATATCAAGTCTCAAACTCATGGTCGTAACCTTCGTAGTACACAAGACACATTTATGTTGTAAATACCCCCATATAAAACCAAAGTAACCCTCGGTGACCGGTCATTTCTCTGTGCTGCCCCTAGATTATGGAATAAATTACCACTAGAAATAAGGAAAGCCCCATCACTAGATAATTTTAAATCAAAACTGAAAACTCACTTGTTCATATAGTATGTATAGCACAGCATTTACGAGCTCTTGCAGCGCAATAGAATATATCCACATAGTTATTGCGCTTTACAAATAAATATATTTTTATTATTTTTATTATTATAAACATAATATTATTATCATGATGACCAAAGTTGAAGAATTTAAAGAAACGAGGCCATATAAACATATTTCACTCATTCGCAGTAATGTTATCTTCTGGTCGGACTATGTGCGGCATTTGATCAATTATAGCAGCAAGAATTAATTCTATTATTTCTTCATCTTTAACCATGCCTTTTTAATCCATGATCCATAGCTACCGCTTATATTAAGCACTTGCTGTGAACGAGATTATCGCTATAGATTTGAAGCAGAATTAGTGAAGAATATCCGGGAGATGGCGTGCTATCGTTTTGATATCTGTTGGTTTGATAATGTACGAAGGGGCTTTTTTTTTGCAAGAAAATGCTCAGTAGCCATGTTGGTCTTTGAGATGAGGAAACGGTTAAAGGAATTGTGCAGACAAGAAGGAAAAAGTCATGAAATGCGAACAAATATTTGTTATAGTGGTGATAGATAAATCAATGAACTGACACAGGCTGAGAGGAGGAATAGACGAAAGGGAGAGGTTTCAGGGAGGGAGGAGAAGGGAGCAGGATAAAGGAGGGGAAAGCAGCGCCAGAGAGAAACATAAATTAGATCCCACCCCCTTCCCGAAAAAAGTCCAGAAAGTCATGAAAAAGTCCAAAGAATGTTGTGTTCTTGAGAACTAAACCTGTGAGTTATGTTTAAATGGGAATACACTTTGTTATCATTTTAATTAACGTTAAAAATAATAATATTAATTGGTATTTTGATTATTTTCGTTGGACTTACCGTTGTTTTGCTGACTTTCCAATCTGTTCTATCACTGTGCATCTGTTCTACCATGATTCTGGCATCCTCAACACCTTTCAGATATTCAGCATTATGTAACGACGTCATGGTGTATTATCGACACTGCACTGCAAAACGAGAATTTGAAGAAGAAAAAATGCAAAAAGTTATATAAGTTCGGTGATTTTCTATAAAAGTCTAACATTACTTTAATATTACTCCCTTCCTTCTCATGGTTTTCTAATGATTCTTCTAATGTTTTTTTCTTTCCTCTCTCCCTCTCTCTAAATAGCAGACACACGCCATCACACAATCTCTCTCTCTTCTCTCTCTCTCTCTCTCTCTCTCACACTATGTCTATATCCTCTCCTCCCTCTCTCTCTCTCTCTCTCTCTCTCTCTCTCTTTCCCTCCTTGCTCTCTCATGTTACTCCCTTTTTTGTTCTCTCTCTCTCTCTCTGTCTCTCCCTCTTACTCTTCACTATCAAATTCATTTTTTTCTCCGATGGGTACCAGTTTCTTTTGCCTTGCATGTCCATTGAAATTAAGACATGTAGGACGAATATCCGTTCTGAATAAGAGAAAAATGTTCATGGTCTTGACTTTATCTTGTAATTATCATCAATTTAAAAGTGCTTATACTGATGACGCATTATATATCAAGCCCCACTGCAATACGTATAGCTACTTGCGCCAACTATATAGCAAACAATGCCTAAGCGGTGACCGTTCGTCCCCCACGATCCTCTTTTTCTTATGTCTATTGAGAGCTAATGAGATAAACACCTGTCAGTGACCATGCAGTGAGGTATAATCCCCCCTGTCCAAACTAGTGCAGATGGGCTTTTAAACTTAGAAATTTGCCACACTTTTACATTGAAATATTACATGCATGCATGGTATCTCATAAATTACACATCAGTTGAACGTCAGGCACAGAAAAATGTTGACGAAAATATTTTATGGTATTGTCACAATATTATTTTTGAAAAGAAAATGTTAATTTATGAAGACTCCTCCTACTCACAATGAATTCGCAAACCGAATTTCGATTTGATTATGACGACTACACTTTGGTCCATGTATAAAATGATTATTTTTCGAAATAAGTATGGGTACGATAATAAGGATTCGAATTTAATATATTATTTAAGAGAGAAATGACTCACAGACTAAAAATAAATGAACATCCGAAAGTACAAAATATGAAATTTCCTGCAAATTTTCTTAGCTATATCTGAAAAATATAAAATATAGATGTTTCATTGCTTTTCTAAATTGTTTGTGAAATTATGTTATTGTTTAATATTGATTAAACACCTCATTAGAGGCAAAGAGGACATAAAAAAACATATTAAAAAGTGTTGTTTTTGTGATAAGACGCTATCAAAGATACAAACCATACAAAAACACATACATTTATAGCCATTATCCGTCTGTTTTTCTTTTCTCCTCATTTATATAATTAACTCCAAAGATCTAAAAAAAAAAAAATCGGCCCTGAGTGACTAATAATTCATGCATGTTTGTTAAATCATCTTCATCGCTATTGACTAACGACTGCAAACATTTCTGCATGCCAGGCGTATCCACTTAGGGGAATCTCCCCCCCCCCCCCTCCCTCCAACATTTAATAAAAACAGGTTTATGATTGCTTCACTCCACGCTACACAGGGATCGAGAACTATTCATAGCTTTCAAATGCCCTCCTCTCCCCCCCCCCCCCCCCCCTCCTCCTGACACCCTTGATCCGCAACGTTCTTGTTATATACACAGGTGCCCATAAAGTTGGAATAATATTTTGTTAACTCTCTTCCTGAAATGAATGTGACAACATGGTTGTTTCTTTATAACTAAAAGCAATTATTTATCAATCTTTATGTCTCTTTAGATTGATCAAACAATTTCTTAGATGATTATTACAATCATAAATTTTCATGAAAAGAGATAAGAAAATATTATTCAACTTTATGGGCACAGGGACTTTTTTTTTTTTACACTGTTCTAATCATTTTAGTTGACCCTAACTTGTCGCCCTAATTATTTTCCTGCAACCGGTCCTCTAGCCCTCTTTTATACTAAATTATTATCTTTCGTCGTCTTCATTTTCAATAAGTTTGTCGATTATTGTCAAGTCCGTAACCGCCAGGGATAGCGTCAGAGGTATATTAAAGTAGTGGTGAAGTAAAGGGATGAAATAAGATAACCGGTTAGTTAAAATCGACCGGGAAGCAACAATTTTGTCGCAGGAGCAAGTACAACCCCATGATCATGATAACTTTTTGTTTGTTTGTTTCTTATTTCTTTCTCTTTTCATTTTAATTTCTTCCTTCGTTGTTTGTTTGATTGACAGACATTCGTTCCTGCGTTCCGTGGTTTTAAATCTCATTTCACTTCTCATTTTATATATTTTTTCTTCAGAAAAAGATTGTTTTGTCAGAAAAGTATTTTTTTTCAATTCTTTTTCTCATAAAAAAAAGCCTTTAATGCAGGTTTCCAGTTCGCCCACAACATTTCCAACTACGCAGGATATAAAATGCTAATATTCTTCGGATAAGCCTTGAAGGTTTTCCTTTTTTCTATTTTTCTGGTCTCGGGTATCCTTGCTGAGGGACGTTCCCCTTATATTCCATAAGTTTACCAGGTTCTCTTTATCCCTAGTGTAGCCTTGCGGCCCTTCCAAGCTAATTCTTTGAATATACCCTGGACGGAATACCTGGGGTTCTAAAGAGAACAGAATCGTCTAGTTGTTCATCTATGCTTTTTGTATCTCACTATAGGCGGGTCGTCATGGGGGCGGGGAGCGTAGGGGCTGGGGGCTGGGGGCTGCACCCCCCTTCAAGAGAATGTTGAAGTTACCAAAATCCATGCAGTCGTCATCTCTTATTCGGACAGGGAGTTGGTCCGTTTATGATTTCTTTGTCTTTTCTAATTATTTGGATAACAAAATTACATTTTCACTACGATATTGTGTCAAAAATTGTAGAAACAGGTAAATTGATCCTTGCATGGGGCTTCAGGAGACTTACCCCCCCCCCCCCCCCCTCCTGTGCCCGCCTACAGTCTATCACTCTCATGTGTATTCTCACTCTCCTTTCTGCTTTATTATGCCCTTGTTGTTGTGTTCATCGTACTTTGTTTGACATTTTCATCGTATTGTAATTCCTTATGTGTTCTGCGATCCGCTTTATATCATGTTTAATGTTTTATTTTTATACCCTCGGTATTCTTCTTCCCTTTTTTTTCCTTCTTGTTGGGCAAAATATTGGACAAAAATATTTGTTCTGTATCGGCATGTAATCCTCATAGTTTCATGATGACCATGTAGGGGGGGGGGGGGGAAGACAGTCGAGTGGTCAAATAAGAGTCAATTATCCCGGCGTGGAAGCCTCTACCCATTAGAAAAGTTGTGTTTAATTGAGTGCATCATAATTATAGCAGTTGATATGTGATTCGGTCCCTATTTATCATGTGTAATGTAACCATTGAAGTATATGCAAAGACAAACCTCCTCCTATAATTTGAATATAAATGCTAGGTTTTACAAACTATTTTTCTCGTTCATGAGGTAGGAAAATGTGTACTTCAAAATATTCCAGGCAAAGCTGTTGCTTAATTTGTTTGGGTATTGTATAATGAAATCCTGGTTAAATTTTTCAGTAGAAATAAAATTCGGTTTAAAAAGTATGTTCTCCATCTCCACCCACAACTTCGTTCTTGCATCACCTTGATCACGTGATCAGCTTGCATCTCGTTCCTTCACCGGTCAAGCCCGCGGCCAAGGAATATTTATGCAAGAATTAGTGAAAGGCATATAGTGAATATTTTTTTTTTTTTTGTAGTATTGTTTTATTGTATTCATTCAGTACAAAATATATAACAAACAAATATACAGCTTCATTGATTTACATATATCAAAATATAAAGAAAATTGTACATTTCTCAAAAAATACATAAGATAGTTTAATACACAGTACATAATGTTTACATTTAATTACACTGAACGAATATTATAAATCAAAGAGTTACCTACAGACAGACAGACACACCACACACGCTCACATACTCAGACACACATACAAACTGACATATCCCCCTTCCCCCTTCATTCCAAAGCTTAACAAATTCCCCCCTCCCTGCCCGAGCATTCACATCTACACATTTGTTGGAAATCCTGTCTCTTCCTTTTCCTTAAGACCAAACTATATATTTAAACAAAAAAAAATGTCTGAGTCTGAAAAAGAAGTATTTGCCTCGCCGTCCTTAACTGTGGAAGTTGTCCCATTTTCTGAAGTGAAGTGTTAAAGTGCCTCTCTCCCCCGCTAATTCCTTTTCTTCTTGCCTATTTTCTATTATTCTTTTTTTAATTTCTTGAGGAATTGGGGGTCTATTTTGAGTTGAACTATATTTAAAAATCATATGTTTTGTTAAAAGAATAATGTGATTTAACAGTTGTTCTTCTCCTACATTGGATCTTTTTATCCCGATATGAATTTCTTGCCAATGTAGATTTTTTAATGCTGATAAAGAAAAAAGGTCACCGCAGTCCTTCCAAATATTTGCTACCTTTTCACAGGTAAAAAACAGATGCTCATAGGTTTCTTCGTGTTTATTGCAAAAGGAGCAAAGATTGCTCACTACATGTTTGAAAGTGTATAGATGCTTATTTGTATAAATTAAATTATATAACATTTTATATTGAAATTCCCTCAGCTTTCTGTCTATAGTGGATTTTCGGGGTCTTAAGAAAATTGTTCTCGTGTCATTTTCGACCATATTGTACGTACGTTCTAAGTTGCATGTAGCATAAGATTTTTCCGTTCTCATTTTTAACAATGTACTATAGATATATTTTGATGTTATGCCTTGCAAAGAGTGAGGGTTTCCGTTAATAATGAATTCTAAACTTAATTCAGTATCCTCACAAGGATGTTCATATATATTCAAAAGAGTTTTCCATGAGAATGGAATGCCTTCATATAACTGTTTTATTATATTTATTTCAATGTTGTTTAAACCCATTTTCTTAAATTCTGTGATAGATTTCAATTCACCTTTCTTATCAACAATATGATGTATTTTAAAAACATTTTTCAGAAATAAGTCTTCATGGAAACATATTTGCCCCT